GGTGGGGAGGTAGAGCAGTGCTGTTAATGAGGTTTTTATTTTTGTATTGATCTAAAAGTTCAGAGAGCCCTTGCTGACATTCTTGCTTGGGGGCCCAAAATTTAAAATTAGTCACTGCCCACAGCCCTTGTTTTAGGAAAGAATGAGATGGCCCTTGCATAACCTTGCGCTGGGAGGGTGTGGGTGGCTGAAGGAAATGGTCCCTCTTCCGAAGAGGCCCAGCTAGGAGTGCTGGGGATGGGTGGGGGGGGCACCTCAGGGGCATGGGAGGCAGACCTAGGGGTGCAAGCAGCAGGCAGAGGGAAATGCCTGGACCAGCTCTCCCTCTGGAAAATGAGCTTCTGCAAACTAGTTCCCTAGTCCTGGCCACTAGGCTGGAGGAGCAAAGTGGTTACTTTAAGGGCAGCATGCCTAATGAATCCAAGAAACCCAACAGATGATATTGGGAAGGGAGGGAGATGTCGAAGAGGAGAGAACCAGAGAGGAGGGCTGACCTGGACAAAGGAGTGGAATGAAGTCAGCTCTCATGCCACGGTTTCCAAGAACACCAGCATGGGCTCTTCTAACTTTAAACTGCACCTCCCACATAATTTCAGCTGGCCAGCTTCCCTCTTTCTTTAGCTCCCTGGTGCTCAGCCAGTTCTCATCTGGCATGCTTAGCCCCCTCCAATGCTTGCAGACTCAAATGCCACGATTTTCTACAATCATCCAAGGTGTATTCCTCCCCAGATTCTTTCACTCCAGCTCCTGCTCCACCCCTATCATCTCACCCCATTCTGGCTCATCCTAGTACTGTTTTCCTCTGCAGTTGCTCTCAGAATCCTTTCTCTTGCCCCTTCCCAATTTTGCCATTCTTCACCTCTCCTAGGTGCTCTGGTGATAGTGCTGTGGTTACGGCTGTCAAATGCTAACCAAAATGCTAACTCTGCAGGGGAAAAGACGCAGCAGTCAGCTTCCAGAAAGATGCACCACCTACGGGGGCAGTTCTGCTCTGTCCTACATTGTCACCTAAGTCAGAGTCAACTCGGTGGCAGCAGATTTAGGATTTGAGAATTTGGTCCTTTCTCCTCCATCTGCGTTCTCCCAATAGTTCCATTATCTGTCATATTGTAATCTCAGCCTTCCTGTTGGCCTGTCCCTTTTCTCAGTCCTCACATGCCATCCTTCTCAATTCACTTTGAGCCTACCCCTACCTTTCCCACCCTACTCCGCACCGAAGATTTTCACCCCCTTCACTTTCCTGCACATATGCTAACTTGATTCCTGGTTTTCCTCTCCATCCAACTCCTGGCCTCCCTCCCAATACCCCTCTCCACCCCTCAGTCTCTCCAGCCAACTGTCCAGCTCCCAAATTCCGGAGAGATTCTCAGGAACAAAGCAAAATGAAAAAGAAAAAAGGCGGGGGTAGGAGTGGGGGTAGTGTGTGGGGTGGAACCAGAGTAATTTGAAAAAAGAAAAAAAATTGAGACCAGCAAGTAGAAAGATAGTGGGGAGAAAAGAGTTGGGAGGACCCAGGTGAAGGGGGGCGCTCTTCAGTCCCACCCAGTTTGGGGAATGCCCTTGCCTTCCCCCCACCCCTTTCACCTGGCTCTTAAAGGGCCCTGCCCCTGACCAGAGGCTACTTAAGGCGGAGGGGCGGCTGTGGGCAACAGCTGCACTTCGCCTGCTCTGGAGAGGAGTAGAAGATTGGGCAGAAAAGCCTGGCCATGACCCCCTATAGGCTGCTGCCATCACTGCTACTGCTAACTCTGCTGCTCGCTGCCCGCCCAGGAGGCGCCGTGGCGCAGTGCCCAGGCTGCGGGCAGGGGGCTCCGGCAGGCTGTCCAGGGGGCTGCGTGGAGGAGGAGGATAGGGGACTTCCAGCGGACCGTTGTGCGGAACCGGGGGGCTGCGTCCGGAGGAAGGGGGAGCCGTGCGGGGTCTACACCCCATTTTGCGCCCAAGGACTGAAATGCCAACCGCCCGAGAAAGACGAGGCGCCTTTGCGGGCACTGTTGCTGGGCCGTGGCCGCTGCCAGCGGCCCCGCGCGCCCACGGGTGAGTCCGCGCCCCGCCCCCACCTCGCCCACGTGAAACTCGCACCCTTCGGACAGGGTCTTGGGAGAGATGGGCGCTGCTGACCTCTATCTAGATCCTGAGGGTTGATATCTGTTCCCTTCCATCGCTGGGGCGTAGAGACTTTAGGGCCACGGGCTACCAAATGTAGCAAGCAGCAGCAGCTAGGGCCATGTGGGGTACAGCCAAGAAAGCTGGGGGGCCGGGGAGAAAACTATCTGAGCCCTCATGCTTCTTGATTAAGGCAGGTGACATGAAGGGTTTCCTGATGGCCCAGATGCAGCAGGCAAGGGGGTCTCTAGCTGGTTTAAGGCTGGTGTGGCTTGTGCCTCGGACATCATTTGTGGAGGCGCCAGTGGGCAGTCTACTAGTCATTGTAACTTCTAGCCCAGTTGTGAATGGATCATCCAGCTATTGAAAACTATTTGTTATGGGTGCTATTTCCTGTAAGTGCGCAGCTACCTGTAGGCCCAGTTCCTTCAGCTGTAGACCCCCCAGCAGAGAAAAGATCCAGGTGTTGTTCTAACCTTCTCTGGTGGCCTTGTGGGCAGGTAAGGATCACACCCCCCCCTCAAAGACAGACAAGCACTTAGAATCCACCAGCTGCTCCATGGAGAAAGATGGGGTACGGCCCCTGAAAAAGATGCTGGAGGTTCCAACTTGATGGCAATAAGGGTTGGGTTGTTTTGGGTTTTTTTTAAGACTTTGAAGTAGGAAGGAAAGGGACCACAGACCCCACACCACACTCTTGTACATTTGGGAAATACCTTCTTCTCTCTTTGGACCCTACCACAGTGTCCAAAACAGCTGGACATTAGTTTAGAAAAGAAGATGTCCCAAGTCCAGAGTTCCAATCTGGCCTACAGATAGAAGACAGAGGACAGGACTGGAAGCCCTCAGGAAGGGGATAGGAGATGGGGAAGGAGGGTTATGAGTTAAATCTGCTTAGAACCAGAAGCTATATACGTATGACAGGTTTGGCGGTGACCTGGCCACAACCTGGAAGGGGCAGGGGCACCAATGAGCAGTTTCTATTCTCTGAGCCTCCACCGCCAGCTGTGAGAGATAATTCAGCAAGTTAAAACTATTTCCTGCAGAAACACCTCAGTTCAGAACTTTCAACTCCACCCACTGGACTCATCCCACCCTGCCCCCGGGAGAACAGAGGGCTGAGTCAGTGGGTGAGTGGATTTGACAAAAGTGAGTCAGCAGCCTATTCAGGTTGGGGGGTACGGTAGCAAGGAGATGGGGAGGGCAGGAAGGGCAAACTACACCCCCTCTAAAAGCATCAGAGCTCTTGGCATCTTCAGTGGAAGGAATGGAAAATCCAGGGTAGTTTCTTTCATTTCCAAATGCCTGGGGACAGGCTGCTGGCGGTTTTCCTAGAAGGCATGATTGGGTGGAACAGGAGGCAGCTGGTTGGTGCTAAATGGAGGGAATGAGGATGGGCAAGGTCTGAGGACTACGTGATGCCAGGATTGCAGAAGAAATGCCCTTAGCTAGCAGATGGATACAGCCAAGAGAGCTGCGGACAAAGGAGAAGATGTCTAGGTTTAAGGGCTGGGGATTATCTCCAGGAGAGGAGAGATCTCTCCCGAGGTCATAAGAATCTCATTTTACAGCTGGGGCAAATTTCAAGCTGTTCTTCCTTCCTTATTTCCACCTCCCACTCCCAACCCTGAGCATTTCCAGGAGCCTGAAGTTCAATCAAATGTCCGAAACTTTCTCCTGAGTCAGACGCAGCTTGCAGACTGGAAGTCCTGCAACATTTCCCATCCCCCTTAATTCTACCCTATTAAGGACTGAATGTCACATGCTCCTAAGACCACTAGGCTTGAACTGGGTTGAGCCACAGAGGGTGAATGAGAAGGGAGAAGAGCCACTGCAATGCCCCCAAAGTAACCACATCCCAGGCCTGGGAGGGGTGGGCTGAGTCACAACGGGTCATAGCGGGGACACACATTCCACTGGACTCCCTGCTGGCCTTCCCTCCCACATCTCTTGCTCTTCTGTCCTGTCTCCCTGGTTTGGTGCACCCCCTGCTGGTCTCTGTTGGAACAGCTAGATCTTCTGATGGGAAAACCGGGAACTTCCAGTAACCAAAACTCACTGCTGTGATGATGCCTTCTAACAGCAAAATTCTGCTGGCTTTCCTGGGCTATGAACTTAACTAGGTGAGCTCCGGTGGTCTAGTCTGCAGAGAGTTGTGCTGCTAACTCAAAGGCTGCACCTCTCTATTGGGTCAAATCCATCAGTGGCTTTGGAAAAAGATGGGCAATCTTCCGTGTGATTTGTTGTTGTTAGGTGCCATCGGGTCAAGTATGACTCATAGTGACCCTACGAACAAAAGATCTGAACCCTGTTCTGTCTTGCGCTATCCTCACACTTCCTGACACAAAAGAGCTCATTGCAGCAGTCACCTTGTCAATTCACCTGGTTGAGGGTCTTCCTCTCCTTCGCCAACCCTCCACTCTTCTCAGCATCATGTCCTTCTTCAAGGAATAGCACCTAGTCAAGGAAGACTCATCTTTCTTGTCTCCAAATGGCACTCCAGCTGCACCCTGTCCAAGACATATCTATTCATTCTCTTGGCCATCCATAGAATGTTCAGTGCTCTTCTCCAACACCACAGCTCAAAGACATCAATTCTTTTTCTGTCATCATTATTCATTGTCCAGGTCTCACATTCATAGCTAGTAATTGGAGAGACTATGGCCTGAATCAAATGCACCTTAGTCCTCAAACTGACATCACTATTGCTCAATAATTCGGAAAGCTCCCTAACTGAAGATTTTCCCAGTGCAATCTGTCTCCTTATTCCCTGTTTGTACCAAAGAAATAAGGAGATTTACGGCCTCTGAGACAATGAAGAGGGTCAGTTATGGGTCAATTTGGACAGAACAGTAATGAATTTTGAGGTTTTGATATCTTAACTGGAAGAGACTGCCTCTCCAACAGAGTTCCTTGTCACCAATAGATAATGCTTTGTATTTGTTCTTAATTTTGCCTTCCAAAATGCTTTTTCCTTGTGCAATTTAAAATTACCCTGTAGATAATTTCAGGAAATGTGACATTCACTGTTTGTCAGAGAATGAAACAGATGCCAGGATAAGCTAGCAGTGGAACCAGGTGTTAACCCCTTTACCTCTTCCTACCATGATACAAGACCTTTCTTTATCTCACTCCAGTAATCAGAGACGCGCAAGGCTCTTCTCCACTTGCCTGTGGTATTAGCATCTGGCCTGGTTTCAAGCCTCTCCTTCCTTCATTCCTCTTGTGGCTATAGGGGAAAAACTCAAGGAGAGTAAACTCCATGGAGCCACCCATGCACACGAAGGAAACCGCAGAGACCAAGAGAGGAATCCAGGGACCTCAACCACTCCTGTTCGGCCCAGTCCTGGCCAAGACACAGAGATGGTGCGTTGAGGAGAGAGGGGCCAGGGTAGGAGGGATGGGGACCCCTGACTGCCCCCTTGAGCAGACGTAATGCCAGTGCACCTTGCACAGAAGCTCTGCTGTCTGTCCAGTGTCTGGCTCTGGCAGCCTCTAGTGGCTTGTGAGCTGTGTGGCAGAGCTAGACTAGGGTGGATCTGAGCAGCCTGCTTCCTTCTCCCAGGGACCCTGCCGCAAACATCTGGAATCAGTGCTGCAGCAACTCCAGACCGAGGTCTTCAGAGGCACTCACACCCTCTATATGCCTAATTGTGACCATCGAGGCTTCTACCGAAAACGGCAGGTGAGGCCATTCCTCTCCTCCCCTTACTCCAGCAGCCAGTGCAAGGTTCCTGCTGGAGGGGACAGAGGCATGTTATAAAGTTAATCAGAGACTCTATCCTGTTTAGGGATCATGCAACTTTAAGACCCACACGAGGAGTTAAACTGCTCAAGGAATGACTTAAAAAACAAGTTGGAAAGGGAGCTCTGGTGGCCTAGTGGCAAGACGCTGCACTGCAATCCCAGAGGTATGCAGTTCAAATCCAACAGATGCTCTGCTGGAGAAGGAGGGGGCAATCTCCTCCTGTACCAGTCAGATCTGATTTGACAGTACACATAAAAATAATACAATAAAAAACAAAAACAAAAACAAGTTGGAACCAACTCACAGCTGACCTTCAGCAGGTTTTCAAAGCTGTGAACTACAAGGGAGGAAACTGTCCATCTTTCTCTCTCAGAGCCACTGGTGGATTCGAACCACTGAAGAGGTGCCACCTTTGGGTTAGGAGCACTAATCCCTAAGGCCTTGGCCGCCAGCGTTCCCGCCAACTTGAGGAGCATCAAAATCACCTGCAACCAAAACCACACCAAACCTACTACCATTGAGTCAGCCCAATACGTTATACCTTATGGTACCAGCATTTCTTGGAGTCACCTGGAGAGCTTTTTATCACATTGACTGCTGAGTCCCACGGTAGAGTTTCTCATTTTCTGTGTCTGGATTGTGGTTATTGTTGGCAACAGTTGATTGCCACCAGGTCGCACATGACTCAGAGCAACCCTATGAAAGACCTGAGGCCTTTCTATAACTAAAGTTTCTCTAAGTTCATAGTTTTCAGAGGCATGTGGTTTGGGAGGTGGATGCCACCCCTGCTTCCAAACCCATCTTAAGACTGGGAGCTCCACGAAACACTGTCCACCATGGGCAGCCAATATGGTATTTAAGACCTCAATGGTACAAGGTTCAGTGTCACAGCAAACCCAGATTTCCTCAGTACAGCAAATCAACAGAAGGCTGCTATACAATTTAGAAGAATGTTTCTCTAAAACATAGTAACAAGGGATTAAAATATAATCACTCAGGCCGAACTTTTAAATACAAAGGGTTTGGATTAAAGCCTGAAAATCTACATTTCTAGCAAGTTCTCTGAGGATGCCGAGGTGGTTGGAGGGTCACACGAGGAGAGTTAGTGGCCTAGCCTACAAGAACATTTAATTTAGTGAGTGAGGAAGAGGGGAAACCAAGGGAAGAGCTCAGTGAGCTTCACCGACCTGGGGGAACATCTACCTGGGTGTTCCTCAGACCCTGCTGTCCACAGTTTGTGCCTGATTCAGGGATCCCCTTTAATCTCTCTGCTGGAAGCCTCAGGAGTCACCTGATCCTTGTGCTTTTCTCTCCAGTGCCGCTCCTCCCAGGGCCAGCGCAAAGGCCCCTGCTGGTGTGTGGATCGGATGGGCCAGCCACTCCAGGGGTCACAGGAGAGCAATGGGAGTTCTTCTTGCCCCATGGGGAGCAGTGGCTGAGGAAGAGTAGCGGGCTGCAGGGCCACCAGAAGAAGCTCAGAGGTGCCATCTTGGGTTATTTATTGAATGCTGAGCAACTCAGAGGCCCTGAGCCCCACACTTCACCTTTAGTTCCTGTCCCATTGTCCCTGTTGCCCCAGAACCTCACACAATCCTCTGGTGGAAAGATTGATGGTGTTGGCTTGGGTGTTAATAAAGCTGTGTTGAGAGTTTCTGGCCTATACTTGTGTGTTTGCCTCTCATATTTCTGGAGCCCTTGGGCCTTCAGCTTCTCTACCTCTCCTCCACCATCCCTCCTTCCCCATGGACCACCTCTAGTCCTTCCCACTGAGCTTGAATACAGGAGACAACCATAGGCATCAAGCCTCACTCATCCACTGACCAAGAGGTAGGGGGGATGGAAGGCATGGAAGTGGGGGTTGGAGGGAGGGGAGACACAGAGGCCGCAGACTGTCAGCCTGATGTTGTGACCTTGTCTCAACACTGATCTTTGAACATAGAGGGAGGGGAAGGTTTAATAGTTAATCCCCAGCACAAATCTAACAAAGAGGAATTCTCAAATCCCTTACCTTTCTCCTATTTCTTACTAAAAAGAGAAGGAAATAATTATCTGAGGAATTCTTCCAGTGGACCAGGCCATTTCCTTCACCAGCTCTACTTCATTTTGTGCTCAAAATAACATTTTGAGGTAGGGAATTTTGCACCCATTTTTCAGAGGGCACAGTGGCTCAAAGTTCAGTCCACTTCCCAATATGACACAGTCAGTACATGATAGACAGAGGATATGAATTTGAATCTGGATTTTCCATATATGGCAATAATTAGTATTCCCCAGGTGCTGAATCAGCATTGTTTTGTCACTTTCTGCCTACATGTTAACCCAAGCAGGTGAAGAAAGAGCTAACATTCAGGGACCCTGGTACACAATATTTCCTGGAGGAAGACCACAGAAATATTAGGTGGCAGTGCCATCTGAATGAATATTAATCATCAGCATCTGAAGCCTGTGAGTTGACCAAGTTAGTCCACACACCTTATCTCATTGGCTAAAGGGAGCTGAAAGCACAGATAGTTGAAGATGGTTCTGACTCCTCCCCGACCTTCAGCCTGCATCCAGCTAGGCCGGAAGTCTTTTACTAACGATAGTAGCTGTACTCGCGATAAGCCTGGAAAGGCAAAGTCCCCTCCTGCAGGAAGGAGAGCACACTTGGAGCTGGGCCCCTGGGAGGTGGTGAAGGGATGTGTCCATCCTTGTGACAACAGTTGAACAGAGAGAGGCTATAGCTGAGTGCTGTCCTCCAGATCAGATAACCTGTCAGCTCCCAGAGGTGCCCTCCTCCTACAAGGACTTTAGTCTTTTGGAGCTGTCAGCTGAGCTGAGTGGGGCAAGTGCTCGGCTGGCGGTAAAGAGAAAGAAGGAACAAGGGCTGTTTGCAGCAGCCGCAAGGCTGTCATCATGGAGCCAAAGGGGTCCCATTTATGGAGGAGAGAGGGGCTCGGAAGAAAGCAGGAGCACCAACCCTCAGGAGAAGGTGAGCCACCCTCTGGGGCTATGGAAAGCTGAGGTGGTGGTGGAGGTGAGGATGCATTGTTGAGAAGAGCCCCCTACCATCTTATGATGATCCTTCCTGCAATCCAGGGAGACCAGGAAAGGTAGAACCTGGCCTTTGCACTAAATTATGTAGCTGGGAGAGGGAGGCAAAAAGGGAGATTCAGATTTGTGACTTTGCCTTATCTTTCTGATCCCAGATGGTGAGTGGAGTAACTTCCCTGTGTGCCTATTTTCAGTGGTGACTCTATCATCCCTTGAAAAAAGAACTTCCTTTTCTGGTTTCTGTTCCCACCCTTGATAATAGATATTAACTAATATAAGTGCTAATGAGAAAACAGATAAATATTTTCTGGACCCTGCAAGACACAGCCAAACTCTAACTTTTCCCTTGAGTGTACCTTCTAACCTTCCTCCTAGGAAACACTGAGAAGCACAGAGCCTCAGACCTGGAGCAATGGACTCGACATATGGAGGTGAGGGATGTTACAGAACAGAGGTCACCGTGGACAGGACTTAGGGTGGCTAGAGGCGGGGGTAGGACCAGCTGGGAGATAAACACAATCTGTTCTTGAGTTCAAAGATCAGATTAGAGTTAAGGGTTAAAATTGTTCAAAACGAAGGTCCTCAGGGCAAGGACCAAAAGTCAGCTAGTGAATAGAGAATCCTCCTGTGAGTGGAATTAGATGTTAGGAGAGAGAAGGCTGTGAGTTATTTTTAAGAGCGAGAGCTCAGAGATGCGAGTGTGGTTGAATTTCAGGCCCCAAGCATGAAAGCATTGTTCTTGTGTTATTCTTGGGTCCTTGCTAGTGGCCCAGGGACTAGAGAGAGAGAGAGACATTCTCAGGGCATCTCTGAGTAGGAACTATGATTTGATTCTCCTTATACCGTATACATCACATATTGCCCAGCCCTGAGAAGCTCAGTAAATGTTCAGGGTGTGAGATGATGACTGATGAGTGAAGCATGATGGCTTTGTCCTTTAGGCTATGAAGACACAGTTGCTGGAGCAAGCCCAGGGACAAATGAGGGAGCTGTTGGATCGAGCTGTGTGGGAGGCGGTGCGATCCTATCCACCAGAGGGGGGATCCTTGCTCTCTAGTCCTCCAAATTCCTTAAGCAAGTAAGAGTCTGAAGAGTCCAGGAACTGAAATGGCCCCTCCATTATAAGGGGAGCCACAGATGCTGTCTATATGCCCTTTGTCAGACTTGGCAGTGACACTGACTTCAACCTTCCCTCTTCTCCCTTCATTGCCCTTCTTCCTGACCCTAACCTCCACCTCTGGGCCTCTCTATCAGGGGCCACTAGCTCTACTCTGGCCCTCACTTTCCCCTAACTACTGTTTACTACTATCTTTGACTCTCAAGTATAGACCTTCCCATGACCTTGCCCTCTACCTTCTTCCTCTGGGTCTGACACAACCATTTCAATCCAGGACCAAGGAGGCGGCCCTTGGAAAACAGAAAGTTTTCATCACCCGCAAGTCCCTGCTTGAGTGAGTCAGGTGGGAGGTCAGGGGATAGGGAGGAAAAGGAACCTCAGGTGGGGCTGGGGGTGGTGGTCCAGGATACCTCACTTCTTATCCCCAAGTACTAGTTGGATTGGGGCAGGACTTAGAGAGGGTCTTTAAGGTTTAGTGTTCCATTGGCCACAGATGAAAGGCCCCCAGGGAGAGAAGAGTCTGGGTTGGGAAGGCTGTGGGAAGAAGCCTCAGCCACATCTTAGCCCTTGGCTGGATGATCTCAGTCACGTGTCCAACCTTGAGAACTTGCCCGCATTGACATTCAGTTCTGTCTCTCCAGTGAGCTCATGGAGGTGCAGCATTTCCGCACCATCTATCACATGTTCATCGCTGGCTTGTGTGTCTTCATCATCAGCACCCTGGCCATTGACCTCATTGATGAGGGCAGGTAGGCCTCCCATCCCACTAGTTGAGGCACATGGATCAGCTCTCTCCTGGGCACCCTGTGTTCTATGTGCCACTGGCCCATGAAGGCACAGGGAACCCTTTGACTACTGGACAAGTGTCAATGTTACTCAAATGTTCGAGCAGCACTCTCATTTAAACCCACCTCAGAGTCCTTGCTAAGGCCAGTCATTCTGTGGACACCTTGCCCATTCTCAAATGCTTCTCAGTAGAGGCCTTGATCTGCACATGGTGTGTATCTCAGGGCTGTACTCTGATCACTCTGCTCACACAAGCACCTTTTCAAGTCAGTTCTATTCAACGCAAATAATGTCCATTGAGTACCTACTAAGTGTCAGCCCTGGAGACCAGCAAGATGGTCCACCCTGTGAACTCTCAGTCTTGTGGAAAAAGACAGACATCCAGGCAAGCACATTGCTGGGTAGTTTGCCCAGTAGAACATGCCATACTCAAGGGTTGGGTTTCAGAGGGCCTGTTCACTGAGATGGGAAAAGTAAACAGGCTGTATAACTCTTGGTGGCCTATATTTGCATCTACCCCATATTACACTATAGTGGAACTTACTGTTCTGAGTTGAGATCCTGACACACCTATAGGATGCATATTCTGCAGGGCAGGGTGGAATTGCTCCACAGGGAAAGGCTGGAGTTTTATCGCTCTCATGTCACCATATCGTTTCTCCTTCACAGCAATTAGTAGGTTTAAACCACTTATTTTTTGGTTACCAATTAAGTGTTTTTAACCACTTTGCCACCAGGGTTCCTTATTCATAATAATAATAAGTAGTTGGGATCAACTTCTGCCATTGAAGGGCGCTCTGGTGGCCTAGTGGCAAGAAGTTGCGCTGCAATCTCGAAAGCACATAGTTAGAAGCCACCAGCTGCTCTGCAGGAGAACGATGGGTAATCTTCTGTGCAATTAACTGCCTCTGAAAACCCACCAGAGGGTCAGCTCTGACTCTATGGGACACAACAACTGCCATTGAGTCCATTTTGACAAAGCAATTCTCCATCAGGTTTCTGAGGCTTAACACGTCACCCTCTACGCCACCAAGGCTGCTCTATAGTAGGACTTGTCGTTGCTGTCATTAGGTACTTTGAGTTGGCTCTGAATCATAGTGAACCTACGTAGGACAGAACAAAATCCTGCCCAATGTGGCACCATCCTCAGTCACTCCTGAGCTTAGGCCCATTGCTGTGGTCACTGTGTCAGTGCATCTTATTGACGTCTTCCTCTTTTCTACTAAGTCTTCGCTTTACCAAGCATATTATGATATTCTTCTCCAGCAAGTGGCCTCTCCTGACATGTCCAAAGTGTGTGAGAGAAAGTCTCGCGATCCTTGTTGCTAAATGGTACTCTGATTGCACTTCTTCCAAAACAGATTGTTTGTTCGTTGGGCAGTTCAGGGGATATTTAGTAGATATTCTTCACCAATCGTAGGGCTTAGGAAGCAATAAAACGAATAGGGCCAAAAATCCACAAGTTTAACAACAGGGCTTTCTTTTGATTAAAAATACGTTAATTAGGTGACTATTAAAAGGATAAAATTTCACAGCAAAAAGTTCAAGTACGTAAAATGACAGCCCTTAAAAAAAAAGACAGTCCTTATTGATCACCTTCAATCCCAGACTGCTCCTCAGAGGGATATGTTTTTAACAATTTTGAAAGTTCTCTCCAGACCATATTCCACACATTTACATCTATGTATCTACAAGAACCACAGATAGGTATTTTGTGAGGTTTTTGCATAAATGAAATGCTATATCTTTTGTTTTGCAATTTGTTTTTACCCTTAACTATTTTAGTGATCTTTCCATGTCAGCATATACAAGTCTACCTGCATTATTTTTAATGACAGCAGAGTATAGAGGTGTCATATTTTATCCACTGTTATTATGCTGTTAGCTGCCATGGAGTTAACCCCAACTCATAGTGCCCTAATCATTATGGATGGGTTTTTATTGACTAGTTTTTGAAACTAGATAGTCAGGCCTTTCCTTGTCTTAATCTGGAAAAAAGTTCTACAGTCTGTGTCGCATCATAACCCAAAACCAGTCCCTCTGCCACTGAGTAGATTCCAGCTTCACTGGGTTTCTGAGGCTGTAAATCTTCCTGGGATTGTCTCATCTTTCTCTTGCAGAGTGAATGATGATTTCAAACTGCCAACTTTTTAGTTAGCAGCCCAATACTTAGACCACCATGCCACCAGGGCTGCCTGTGCCGTGTCATAGCAACATGCATATCTCCACCGACCGATGGGTGATGGCTGTGCATAAGGAGCACAGACCGGGAGCTGATGTGAATCTCCTTCATGCAAGTGGAGAAATCCACCACTGGCCCATCACTGCTCCCCTGGCTCATGTAGTTCTTTGTTAATGAACCTTGAGACTGTTTGCAGTTTTACATGGGTTTCAGCCATGCATTCTTAACTTGAGCAAACAAAATGGACACCTTAATGCCACTAGTGCTGCTGTACAAACACAGATGCTCTACAGGTACAGAATTAATAATCAAAGTTAAAAGCAGTGTAACTCATATCCTAACACCTGTGGTCTACAGCCTACTTCACAGAATTCACACAGGACTCACAAGGTCATTTAGAATCAAACCCCATTCTATAATAAATCACTAATGGATAAATCACTTCAGGTAATGCTAAAAGTCCTGAATAACAGGGGTGCCATTCTTTAACACCTCCAGGGGTAAGGAGATTATAATCTCCTCAGAATACCTCAGTTTATCTTTGGAGATGAGGCTAAAGAAGGACTACATTTTTATCTATATTTTATCTCACCTTCTCTCACTCCGAGGCTGCTGCTGGAGTTCGATCTACTCGTCTTCAGCTTCGGACAGCTACCCTTGGCGCTGATGACATGGGTCCCCATGTTCCTGTCTACTCTGCTGATGCCCTACCAGACCCTCAGGCTGTGGGCCAGGCCCCGGACTGGGGGTGCCTGGATCCTGGGGGTGGGCCTGGGCTGCGTGCTGATGGCCACCCACATCGCAGTCCTCGGAGTCCTCCCCATCCACGTGGCCGTGGAGCACCAGCTCCCACCCGCCTCACGCTGTGTCCTAGTCTTTGAACAGGTACATGCATGGAGGTGGGGGTGGGGTATGGGAATGAGTGGGATAATTTCTGCAGGGGGTGTCCTCCAAAGAGGGGCAAAGTCCATTTGAGGGGTGGACACCAGAAGCAGTATTGGCAGGGACAGAGCTAGTTATTAGGGGTGGAGACGATTGCTAGAGAATTGGGGCAACTCATAGGATTACACTGAGTCCTAGTTGACTCGACAGCACCTACAATGGCAGGCTCCGAGGAAATTCACATGAAAGGGACCTTGCTTACTTCTGTCCCCCCTTTTCCTACTTTCACTCATCCCAGCAGCCATCTGTGTTGGAGAGTTAGCCTGCCTCTCTCCTGTAAATGAGACCACAGAGAGGTTGAATGATTTCCTCAGTGTCACACAGCAGCTTGGCTTTCTCTCTTCCTCTCCATATCAGGTCAGGCTCCTGATGAAAAGCTACTCCTTCCTGAGAGAGGCTGTGCCAGGAATCCTTCGTGCCAGAGGAGGTGAGCTCTTCAGCTGGCCCTGATGTGTCCCCAGTTCTTGGTAGAATGAAGTTCAGTGGCTTCATAAAAGCTCTACCTTCCCAAGCTCTGTCTGTGCACGGGCACAATTCTGGCCTCTGTGTTCTGTAAGCCTTGGTCACTAGCTATTCTCCGGATCTACCTTGTGAACATTGCCCAGGACTCTGATGTTTTCCTGTTAGCCTAGCCTGGAAAGACTCGGGGTGTGAAAACCTTTTATCAGGGAGACATGAGAAAAGGAGAAGGAGAATGGTTAGTGGAACTTGTAGGAGCCAAATGCAGTCCTTGCCATAGCAAGCTTTGTACCAGAAAAGGGGCCTGCTGAGATGGAAGCACAAGAGATGTTACAGAGCAGATTTAGCACTACCCACCCCCAGACCCTGCGTGCAGCCGTTCGCCCACTGCCCTTTGCACCTCTGTCTCTCCACTCATCAGTCCCACTGCCCTTTCCCAACAGTCTCCTCACCCCTGCCCTCTCCCCCCGCCCCCTCCATTGATCCATCCCTCTCACTCCCACTCTGTAGGGGAGGGTATCCAAGCCCCCAGTTTCTCCAGCTACCTCTACTTCCTCTTCTGCCCTACACTCATCTACAGGGAGGCTTATCCCAGGTAAGACCCTCCATCTTCCCAAATGCCCAGGTCCGTCAGGGACCTTTTTCCTTCTATGCTCCCTTCCCTGAGGTCCTTAGTCTCACCTCAGGCACTGGCTACTTTCTCAGGGAGCATCTCATACTAAGGGTGGGAAGTAAGTGGCAGATAGACCACTCTTTCTCCCCATTCAACCCCTTGGTGACATTGGGGTGACCAACTGTCCTGATTTGCTCAAAACTGTCTCTGTCTTAGCACTACATATCTCATGTCCCACAAAGACCCCTATGCCAGAGCAAACTGGGGATGGTTGGTCACCCTAGCTGACATTCAAGGGACAAATCCTTTTGTTACCTTGATTATGAAAGGTTCAAAGGGTCCTGGATCCTCATATCCCCTGATGATCCTCTCAGTCCTGAGTAATTGAGGGATCTTCAGAGAGATGTCCCCAGGCCTGAGCAGGGGACAAACTTTTAAAGAATCAGAAACATATTGCCCCCCTTGCTATTGCAGAACACCCCATGTCAGATGGAATTATGTGGCCAAGAACTTTGCCCAGGTCAGAAGGTGGTGTTGAAGGGTGGATCACCCGTGACTCATGGTGGCTGAGGAGGCATTTCTGGGAGTGAGGTGGGGAAGACCTGGGGAGAGGTGGGGAGGGGGTGCTGAAGAAAGAGGAGGCAGGTTTCAGGACACAGGTCTAGTTATAAAGTGAGGGAGTCACAAAGGTGTCTGTCCTCTACGCCTTCTCCAGACCCTGGGCTGCATTCTCTATGCCTGCTTCATCCTGGGCCGGCTCTGTGTTCCTGTCTTTGCCAACATGAGCAGGGAGCCGTTCAGCGCCCGGACCTTGCTGCTCTCTGTCCTGCATGCTACACTGCCAGGTAAACCCATTTGAGACAGGACAGGAGAAGACCTCACCCTGGGGAAGGTTCATCAGGAAACTCCCCACTCCTTTCAACCTTTCCCTTCAATCAGTTTCAACCTATGTCCTCCCTCTAGCTGTCAACTCTCTTTGCCTGCCAAGATATCTTTTCAGATGACCATCTCCTCCCCCTGTCCACATTAGCCTACTAACCTATCTCCTTGCCTTCCAAATCCTCTCCTATCTTCCCTGACCTCACTGCCCAGGTGAATTTCCCAACTTCAAATTAATCATTCCCTATCTGCTCAGTGATTTGCTTGGTATTGCTGGCACTTTCTCTGTCTGGTACTCAAAGCTCCTCTTCATGAAACCCCAATCTATTATCTCAGCCTAAAAAATTAAGTCCACCCACTCCCAGAAAGACATACACATCCATGCCTTCAGGTCTTTGTCCCGCTGATCCCTCAGCTTGGAATGGGATCCAGTTATTATGTGAGGCTCATGACCCCTCCTCTAGTACAACTTCCATCTCTAGGAGCCATTCGTTGCTCGGCACTTCAAGTATATCAGTGGCTACCATGCTTAACCCCATTATACTTGACCTTGATGTTTGAGTTGATATTTCTGTCTCTGGATCACCAGTCTGGAAACTTTCAGTGGCCAGGGGCTTTGGAACTAATTTCTCTATCTACAACACCTGCCAGATAAATGTGCTTGAGCAAATGGATGAATTCACAAAAGTATAAACTAGTGGATGAATGACAAATGGCTGGTATGAGATGGGATCCTAGTTGAGAGGTGGGGAGAGCCTCACAGCCTAGATTCGAGGTGCCTGGGCAGTCTTGCGGGCGAACCTGACCTGAAACCCCTTGTCCTCACCTGCCAGGCATCTTCATGCTGCTGCTCATCTTCTTCGCCTTTCTCCACTGCTGGCTCAACGCCTTTGCGGAGATGCTGCGATTTGGAGACAGGATGTTCTACCGGGTAGAGCCTGGACCCGGCTCTGGGCCAGTTGGATGCTGGAAGCAAGGGAGAACTGAGCAGGGATCTGGGGAGGATTGTGGTCATGCTGGTATCATCTCAGCTATCAGTCAGTCTTCCACAAGGAGAAGTGTGCTCCTCTGGGTGTGATTTCAGGGTCACCTCAAATCCCCCAACCAGCTAGTCAATTGTTCTTGTGTGGATGATACTAGAGTTTCCTCTTTCTGAGAAGCAGACTGGTAGGGACCCCAGATTCTGAAGAGGGATTTAGAAGAGTGCCTGCTGTTTCTTCTGCCCAAAGTAGAGCCTTACAGGCAAACAATGGCACAGGGTAGAAGCAGAGACAAGAAAACGGGGCTGTGAAGAGTCAGGCCCTACTGCTCATGGCCCTGCCTCATTGCCCCGCCTCTTCTCCAGGACTGGTGGAACTCAACCTCCTTCTCTAACTACTACCGCACATGGAACGTGGTGGTCCATGACTGGTTGTACAGCTATGTCTATCAGGATGCACTGTGGGTATGGACTCTGAGCTCCCATCATTGCATGTATCATCCTTCCTCCACCCCCTCCCTTTTCCAGACTTCCATATGCCTCTATTATGCTCAATCCAATAGGCAGGACGATCTTACTATCTACTTTCTTTCCTTCTTTGTCCTTAATTATACTCTTTCCTGAGTCCTCTAAATAACAAGCATATAGCAATTTTTGGTAACCAAAAGTTACCACATACATTAATCTGCACAGTAAACCTGAGAAATATTATAATAACCCCCATTTTTAAATTGCAAATAAGACCCAATGGGTTAATAAAATACTAATAAGACTAATTCTAGTCATCCTAATCCCAGATCCTTTATTCTTTCATTGTGTCTTACCTCTTCCTGTGTTCTTCAAGGAGAGGGCTCTTTGAAGAGAGATCTTAGGGAGACTTACTTCCCCCTCCTCTCAACCCTACCAGCTGGTTGGTGGTCGGGCACGAGGGGCAGCAATGTTGGGCGTGTTCCTGGTTTCTGCAGTGGTCCATGAGTACATCTATTGCTTTGTCCTGGGATTCTTCTATCCTGTGATGCTGATGCTCTTCCTTGTCTTTGGAGGTGAGCTTGACCTTTGTACATCACTGTCTGGGGAGCCATCTGAAGGAGATGGAATAGATTCTATTCTTAGAGAAGCCAAACTAATGGAGGAGGCCACATACTCCAAATGAGAAGTAAGGCCACTGAGGATGAAGAGGGGAAGGGCTTGAGAAAAAAGGAGAAGGCAGCACTGGGGCATCCTGGAGGTAGAGGAGGCTTTCTGGTTGGAGTAGGATGTATTACAGGATCACTCATAAAGGGGGACAAAGGGAAGTAAATCAGAAGGTACAGTATGAGGTACAGATAGTACAATATAAAGGGAAGAATCTTGATCTAATATGAGTCCCTTGAGACCTCCATAGGTTTCTGTAGCTGGACACGTGGTCTCACCCTACAGAGCCTTCCTATTTTATCTCTTCTTGGTGCTCCTGGATGGGAAAGAAGGTGGAGAGACAAAGTCTATGTACCAGGAGCTGGGTTGACCTATCCTTTTCTTTCTCTAGGGCTGCTGAACTTCACAATGAATGACCAGCACACTGGCCCAGCATGGAATGTTCTAATGTGGACACTGCTCTTTCTGGGCCAGGGCATCCAGGTCAGCCTTTACTGCCAGGAATGGTATGCACGGCGGCATTGCCCCCTGCCCCAGGTAAGAGACCACAGTGGCACCAGGCTATGAGGTTCCTATCTGGCTTAGATCCAACTGTGTTTATATATGTGTGTGTCCTTTCCTTCCAACATCACCTCCCTACTATTCCCCAACTTAAACAACACATATTTGTTGTTCTTATGTGACCTCGAGTCAAAACCAACTCAAACCTGATTCTCTAGTGGGTTTTCAGAGGTTATAAATTATATGGGGAGATACACACACACACACACACAAATACACACACACACACACACACATATAGAAAATCAAAAGGGCTGAACTCGCTCAGCATTTCTTAAACTGAAGGAGCTGAAAAACAAATTCAAGCCACGGGTGGCAATACTTAAGGATACTTTGAGTAGAATGTTAAATGATCCAGGAAGTATCAAGAGAAGATGGAAGGAACACACAGAGTCACTGTATCAGAAGGAATTGGCTGACACAGAAGAATTTCATGAAATGACATATGAGCAAGCCTATGGTGATGAAGGAGGAAGTTCAAATTGCTCTAAAGGAATTGGCAAAAAACAAGGCTCCAGGAGTTGACGGCATACCAATTTACATATTTCAACAGACAGACACCACTGCCCTGGATGTGCTCACTAAGTTGTGCCAAGAAATCTGGAGAACAGCCAGCCAGCCCACTGATTGGAAAAGATCGATATTTGTTCCCATTCCAAAGAAAGGTGACCCAACAGAGTGCGAAAATTATCGAACAATATCATTAATATCACATGCAAGCAAGATTCTGCTGAAGATTATCCAAAAACGTTTGGAACAATATGTCAACAGAGAACTGCCAGATGTGCAGGCTTGATTTAGAAGAGGTCGTGGTACTAGGGATATTATAGCTAATGTTAGATGGATCTTGGCAGAAAGCAAAGAATACCAGAAGAATGTCTATCTGTGTGCTTCTTCATTGACTATGCAAATGCTTTTGACTGTGTGGATCACAACAAGCTGTGGCTGACTCTGAGAAGAATGGGAATCCCAGAACATTTGATTGTGCTAATGTGAAACCTATACTCGGACCAAGAGGCAGTCGTCAGAACAGAGCAAGGAGACACTACATGGTTCAAAATCAAGAAGGGGGTCTGTCAGGGATGTATTTTGTCTCCATACCTTTTCAATCTGTACGCAGAACAGATCATCTGAGATGCTGGGCTGTATGAAGAGCAATGTGGCATCAGGATTGGTGCAACAACCCTGCTTGCTGAAACTGAGGAGGACCTGAAGCCCTTGCTGCAGAAGGTCAAGGACTTCAGCTTCCTATATGGATTGAAGCTCAACCTCAAGAAAACAAAGATTCTCACCACTGGGCCAATTGGCAGCATCAGTATGGATGGTGAAGAGATTGAGATAGTTAACAGTTTTAGTTTGCTTGGCTCCACAATCAACACTATTGGTAACAGCAACCAGGAAATCAAGAGACAAATTGCATTGGGAAAGTCGGCTGTGAGGGACCTCTCAAGAGTACTGAAGAGCAATGATGTCAGCCTGGAGACTAAGGTGCACCTGATCCGGGCTATAGTCTTCGCAATTACATGCCATGCATGAGAGAGTTGGACAGTGAATAGGGTTGACAGAAAGAGAATTGATGCCTTTGAGCTTTGGTGTTGGAAAAGAGTGTTGAATATACCATGGACTGCTAAGAGAACAAACAGGTTTGTCCTGGAGAAGGTGAAGCCGAAATGCTCTTTGGAGTCAAGGATTCTGAAGCTTCGTCTGACATGCTTTGGGCATGTTGCAAGGAGGGACTGGTCCTTGGAGAGGGACATCACGTTTGGCAGAGTGGAGGGGCGGTAAAGGAGAGGAAGACCTTCGATGAGACGGATCGATTCTGTGACTGGAGTGGTGGGAATAAGTGCGTTTGAGATGGCTAGGTTGGCACAGGATAGAACAGTGTTTAGAGCTCTTGTACATAGGGTCGCTATGAGTCGCAAATGATTCAATGGCACATAACAAACAACAACAACAACATACATACATACAAATAGATAGATAGATTTATTTCAGGGAAATGGCTCACATGTTTGTAAAGCAAAGTCTCAGATCTGTAGATCAGGCCTCACAATGCAGGCATCTGGGGAGGCGGATTTCAGGCTCTTGCCTTTGGAGGCTGCAGAGGTGACACATCCACAGGTTGTCTGTCATTGGGAAGCACTGTTACAGACAGCTCACTTTGGATGCTGACAAGTTCAGAGTCACCAAGTATGGCAGGTTATCAGTTTAAATCTGGATACCACAAGCCAGATAGTTAGCTGTAAAAGAAAAAACAAATCCTCAAACTTGTTGTCAAGTCAGAACAACTCAGAGCTGACCTTCCAGTGAGTTTTCAGAGGATGTAAACTGCACAGGAGGAGATTGTCTTCTTCCCTTGGAGCCTCTTGTGGGTTCAAACCATGTGCCTTGGATTGGCAGAGTAACTCCCTCCAAACTGAGCCAGATCTAGATCTCACCAAAACCTCACTGGCTTTTCTGCCAGTGTCTAAACATAAATACCATATGTGCCACACCACTGAGGAGATTTAATCAGATAAGGCTAGTTGTATCTTTATAGATCTGACTGTAACCCAACCTTAACACCATCAAATTAAAATACAAACTCATTTCCACCAAATCAGAACTGACTCATAGTTGACCCTCCATTGGATTTCGGAGGCTGTGGGTCACATGGAAGCAAAGTGCCCTTCTTTCGCCATTGTTGCTGCTGGTGGATTCAAACCTTTGATTTGGCAGTAAAACTCCCCACCAGAGCTCCTTATCAACACCATAAAGGCTACAATTTACAACACACACAGAATAGTTACATTATTCTGGGGATTGTGGCTATGTTTCCTCATAATATTAACCCTGATACCATTCAAAAGGCTGTACCTTTCCTTCCCAACATCACTTCCCTACTATTCCTTAACTTAACAGCTGTGGTTCGGCACCACGGTCTATATTGTAGGTAATGAGTTCCCATGTCTTGAAGGCACAGAGTGAGTACTAGAAAGGAGGGACTTCATTCATAACTCGAACTCTCTCTGGCACAGACAACCTTCTGGGAGCTGGTGACCCCTCGATCTTGGTCCTGCCACATCTAGAGGTCAATGCACCCACCCTCGCTGTTTACACAACACCACCAAGTTCTCCGGTGCCTGAAAATCCTGCCACCTTTTTCCGAACTTCCAGACCTGCCTCTGCGTCCAGGGGGCCTGGAATGAGTGACCTCAGTCAAGGGATTCCAGGGACCTGTGGACTTGTAGGCAGCTGAACACAGACTCAGGATGTGGGTAACTCTTGAGCTTCTATCCCTATGGACTGGGCACAGAGTCCTCTCACTCTATAGCTGTCCAGAATTGGGGATATGTTGGGGAACTAACAGACTTGGTGAATATAAGGGGCCTCAGCAACTTGGGTCATTGAGGTTCCAGATGGTTTTGTTTGTTGACTTTGTACTCCTGTCAACACAATAAACTCTTTGTTTCTCTTTTTAGTCATTCATTTGCTTATTAATTCACTGTGTGTGGAAGGTCTTTTTCTGACAGTCACGACAGCAGAGCTGTAATCTAGATTTAGGATTTTGTGGTGGCAGGGATTGGATCTTAGATGACAGTTTACCATTCCTTCTCTATACCACCACCACCCCTCTCAGAAACCTAGGCTCACGCCCCCCACCCCCTTATCTCGGTTGTTGGGTGCTGTCAAGTATGTTCCAATTCATAGTGACCCTATCGGACAGATCAGAACTGTTCCACAGGGTTTCTTGTCTGAACCTTCGCAGATGCATACTGCCACATCCTTCTTCCATAGAGTGGCTTGTTGGTTTGAACCACTGACTTTTAGGTTAGTAGCTGAGTATTTAACCTCTGTGCCACCACGACTCCTTCTTCCACCTCTACTCTTCCCCTTCTCCAGCCCACATTCCAAATCCCTTTAATCTTTTGCTCCTGCGACCTCTCATATTTTGAGAAGGTTCATGGTGGATCCTTCTGCAGGGCTGTGAGAAGAACCTACTGCAGCTGACCTTGGGCAAATATTTTCATTTCCTGTAGTTTGGTTTTCACAATTTTAAGATGAACTTTAAAATCATAAGTGTCCTGTCTGTATGGTGGCAGAAAGTTAGAATATTCCTATGTGGAACTGTTCTAGAAACCGTGCTGTGTGTACTTTAAGGAAAGGGTCATCTCTGTCCTGTCTGCACAGATTGCCTCCCCAACCTTGTTGTTTTTGTCCACCCAGTCAGAACCAACCACAGCTGTTCCCTCTAACAGGTTTTCAGAAGCGGTAAATCATACAGGAGGAGATTGCCTGTCTTTCTCTTGCAAAACAGAAGATTCAAATCCCATGCCTCTGGGATTGCAGCACAGTTTCTTACCATGAGGCCACCAGAGCTCCAGCCCAACAAGGTGCTGGGAAGATATTTGGGTTGATGCTGTTTATTGCTGTGGAGTCAAGCATAATTCATAGCAACCATATGAACAAAAGGTCTAAAGTCTTTGTATAACTATCATCATTTATCAAAGTTCATAGTTTCCAGAGCATGTTGTTTAGGAAGTGGATACCACTGGTTATTAAAGGGGAAAATATTAGCCCCCAGGGAACCAGTGAGTTAGGGTTCCTCAAAAGAAAAGTAAGGGCGCTTGCCTTCAGAATGTTTACCAGAAAGATAATCAAAGACCAAAGTTCAGCAGCAAACACCTCCAGGTGTGAAGCTGAAGAGGAAACAACCAAGTAGAAGGAACAGGAAGGGGACTCTGAGGAAACTACCAGCTTTGTCTGGGATTTTCTGACCCTGGTTCTAAATGCCTGAGCTGTAACTCCCTTCTAATTTTTCCAAGTCTGGATCCTCATTCATTCTTCCATTCATTCCCATTTACTTTTGGAGACAGTTTGTGTGGCTCTTTAGTTCTCCTACTAACTCCCACTTCTACATCTGTAGGACAAAGTTTGCTCAGACCTCTCCAGGGCTTGGACCATGCCCAGGCAGGTGGCCAAGGGATTGTGCTAGAGAATGTGAGGCATGTGGAGGCTACTCAGAGCTGTAATAGGGCAGCCCCAGGTGCTTCCAGCGCTGGGGGAGCTCAGGATCACCCGGGGTGGGTGGGGATGTGTTAGGAGAAAATAAAAGCACAAGGCTAAAAATGGACAATTTTTTCAAGAGGAAAGCAATATGCTTAATGAAAATAAAAATTACATACATTACATACATTTAGAAATAACTCCTTTCCCTTTAAAAAAATTACTATTAGAGATAAACATTGTGAACATTTTGATGTTAATTCTTCTAGGCTTATCTACATTATATTCATTATGTTAAGATTAGGTGCAACTGTAAGTAATGGTAAACAAGAAGGGTCCTTCCTTCACAGGTTAGAATGCAGCTGTAGGCAAGCCAGAGCTGCTAAAGTGTCTTAACTTTACCTAGGGTTTATTTGCTATGCATGATCTCCATTCCTAAAGCTTCATCATGGTCCAAACGACTGTTCCAGCTTCATTCCAGGCTGTAGGAAGGAGGACTAAGAAAATGAAGGAAATTGAAAATACCACTTATGTTAAATCTCATTGACCAGAATGTGGTCACCTGGCAATACACAGCTACAAGGAAACAGGTTTTATTCTAAGGCCATGAGCTCAGTTAAATTCTTGAAGAGGGGATGCAATGTGGGTAAAGGAAGTGAAACCGTGTGTAGTGTCTGTACAGCAGTTTGTGAGTTTTCAACTCTTGGTACAGTAGATTTTTTTCATTTGAGCTGTTCAAATAGGTGTCAAGTAGCATTTCATTGTGGTTTTCATTATCATTTGTACATTGACTAATTGGCTGAGCATTCTTTTTCCTAAGCAGATTTATCATCATCATATCTTCTTTGATTACATGGTATAACTTTTTGCTTTTTTAAAAATTGGGTTTATTTTCTTAATATTACATTTTGAATACTTTTTCTATATTCTAGAATGATAGCAACTCCTTATCAGATAAGTGATTTTCAAATATTTTCTCCTAGACCTTTTTATTAGTAGAGTCCTTCTTTTTTAAAAAAATTTATTTTATTATTTTCTGTGTGTGTGTACCATCAAATCGTATGTGACTGGAAAAGGAGGAGATTGCCCCTCCTTCCCCAGCAGAGCATCTGCTGGATTCGAACCAATTACCTCCGGGATTATAGTGCAGCTTCTTGCTACTAGGTCACCAGCTCCCTTAGTAGTGCCTTTCATAGAGTAAAATATTTAAATTTTTATGAAATCAAACTTAACAATTTTTTTCTTTTATGGATCATGGTTTTAGTGTCATATATTAAGAAAAACAACAACCCAACTTTGCCCAACCCAAGGTTATGAAAGTTTTTCTTATGTCTTATACTATATATTTTATAGATTTTGCTCTTACCTTTAGGCATACGATTTCTCGTGTTCAGTTTTATATAACATGTAAATATTTAGTTCTCTTTATGTGTATGTATGTCCAATTGTTACTGCATTATTTGTTGAAAAGACTATATTTCCTTCACCGAATTGTCTCTGAATGTATAGATCTACTTTGAAAAACTTCATTCTGTTCCACCAATTTCTTTTACTTGCATTATATCACTACCACAGTATCTTGGATATTGTAGATTTACATAATCTTCAAAACAATAGTAAAAGTAATGCAATCATGTTTTTTTTCTCTCAGAGTTGTTTTGACTATTTGGATCCCTGTAGGCATTTTAGAATCAGCTTGCCAATTTCTGAAAAAATAAAATAAAATAAAATAAAAACAACTTAATGGGATTTTAATTGGAATTGCTTTTGGGTAGTCTTGACATCTTGACAATATTGAGTCTTTCTATTCATAAGCACAATCATTTCTTTAGATCATATATAATTTATTTAAGGGAGCCCTCATGTCCCAGGGGGAGGAGCCTCCTGCCAACCCAAAGGCATGTGGTTCAGTCCAGCAAGAACTCCATGGAAGAAAGATGGATAATTGGCTCCTGTGTGAATTTCTGCCTCTGAAAACCACTTGAGCATCAGCTCTGAGTCCGTTCCAACTCAACAGCACCTAACAACAATATATTTTACTTAAGCAATACTTGAGGATTTTTCAGTATGGAGAATTGGTACCTAACTTGTCCCTAAATATTTTTATGCTTTGTAAGTGTCTTTGTTATCCTTATTATTTCTGTTTCTGGTTTTTCATTGTGAGTACATTGAAATGCAACATATTATTGTATTTTTACTGTATATCTTGCAAACTTCTATTCGTCAAAACAAACTGAGTGGCTGAAACAATAAAAATGTATTTTCCATTGTTCTGGAAGTCAGAAATCCGAAACAAAGTCACTGGCAGAGTGATGTTCCTTTTGAAGGCTGTAGGGAAGAATTCTCCCTTCTCTCCTCTTAGCGTCTGGTGATTCTAACAATCCTTGGCTTGTAGGTTTTCACACCACTCTCCATCTGTCATCTCTTCCCTATAACTGTTTGTATCTATGTGTGTCCTGCCCAATTCTTATAGGAATATAAGTTATTGGATTTCGAGTTAATCTTAACTTACTTAGTCATGTAGTGCTATAACAGAAATACCACCAGTGGTTGGACTTAAAAGTTATTCTCTCACAGCTAGGAAGTTAGATGTACAAATTGAGGACACTAGCTATAGGGAACAGCTTTCTCTTTCTGATGACTCTGGTGGGGTGTTTCTGTCCTTTTAGCATCTGTAGACTCAGTGTCCTTTGGAGATCTCGTATGTCTTGGTATCAATTCTCCTCTGGGTCTAGGAGAGTCTTAATGCAGAGACTGGAGGACTGAAGGACACACTCTATTCCCAGCTGTTCTTTTGTGCTGACAGTTAGATTTCTTTGATTTTATATTTAAAAAATAGTGTTTTGAGAGGGAGCTCTGGTAGCCTAGTGGCAAGAAGCTGTGCTGCAATCTCAAAGATGCATGGTTCAATCCATCAGATGCTCCACTGGAGGAGGGGCAATTTCCTCCCATGCCAGTTGGATTCGATTTGATAGCACACATGAATGAATTTAAAAAAAAAGTATTTTGACTTAGAATACAACCTAATTCTGTAGACTGTATCCTATCTCTTATGTCTCTAATTCTGCCTCCTTAAGATCAT